GTATCTTCTTCCAAAGATCGTCCGTGCCAGTCTCGACAACAAGCAGCTTAGGTGCAGCTTCCTTGCTTGTTCCTCCCAGATTCTCATGTGTATAAACTCTGCTAGTTCTAGTCATACCTTGCGCGGCACCTGTTTTCTCCATTTTTGTTTTTCCCTTTCTTCTTGCCTCCGCAACATAATCCCACAGAACGGCATCAAGCTTGTAAAATGGTGTGGGAGCTACCATTACAGTGAAGGGTGTAGTTACCTCGACTTCAAATGGCACTTGGGTTTGTACCACAACTGGTGTGGGGGTGACCGGAGATATTTTAGAAGCGTCTCCCTCTCTCGAATGAGTCCAATGGACCCCTCTTGATCCCATTCTTCGTTAGTTTCTATCACATTCACTCCCTCACCTCTGCGATCCGGGAGAGTGTTGTTACGAACATTTGGTGCAACTTCCTTTCCTATACGAGCTTAGTGTCGATCAATGTCTGAATCTTGTCTTTCAATGTGCGACACTCCTTAATGGTATGGCCCTTCATGCCTGAATGATAAGCACATGTTTTGTTAGGATTGATCCATTGGGAGGAATTTTTCATAACAACAACAGGAATAGGAGTAACATAACCAGTGGCCTTCAGTCTCTCATACAGTTGGTCTTAGGTTCAGTAATTGGGGTGTACTGTCTAGGAGGTCTGCGGTCAAAATTTGGACGTGGCTTCGGGTAGTTTTGGCGGGCGCGTGGTGGTGAATGGTAATATGCAGGTTGAGTATTATAGGTATGGTAGGTGGCATCAGGGTGTTGGTATCTTAGGGGTGAGGGCTGATATGTGGATGGAGGTGCTTGGTATGTGAGGGGGGACTTGGGGCCCTGAGCTACCATCACGGCACCCACTTCTTTATTCTTCGAAATGCCTCCTGATTTCAAAGCTTTATTCGTGGCCTGCAGTGCCTTGAAATTGGTTACCATCCCATTCTTAATTCCTTGTTCTGTTCTTTCTCCTAGCTTGATGATGTTGGAGAACTTGTGATTTTCAATGAACATTAACCTTTCGGAATACTATGGATCTTGAGCTCTAACAAAGAACTTGTTCATATGTTCTTCTTCAAGTGATGGCCTTACCTTTGCAGCCTCTGATCTCCAACGAGTAGCATAATCGCGGAAGGTTTCTGTCGGCTTCTTCTTGAGGTTTTGAATGTAGAAAACGTCTGGCGCATTTTTCGTGTTGAACCTGAATACATCCATGAAATCTGATGCCATACTCACCCAACTAACCTACTTCTTTAGGTTTTGATTGATATACCAAGAAAAGGCGTCTCTTGTGAGGCTTCGCATGAACAGATTCATGCGGATTTTTCATTCTTGCCCACTCTTACAAGCTTGGCGCAATATGTTCTCAGATGCACCTTCGGATCACTAGTACCATCAAACATTTCGAACTTGGGAGGCTTGTAAACCTCTGGCAGTTCCACATCCGGCTCGATACATAGGTCCTCATAGTTTAGACCTTCAACACTCTGGACTCTACCGGTGAGCTTCTTGAGTTCTTCCGCCATGCTTTTAATGAGCAGTTCCTCCTCAATCGATTCAGGATTATATAGGGTTTGCTGCGGGGTATGGGGTAAAGTTTCACATATATCGGGTTGCTTTGATGGGTTCCTGGAACTTGGGTATACAGGTGGTCGTTGGTCTAGGTTTGGGGATCGGGAGTAGGTTGTGGTGCATTTTGGGGAGTGTGATAAGTAGTGGTTTGTGGATATTGGGTCGGATGATGGTAGTGTTGTTGAGGGGATGGTACTGATGGCGGGTTAAGGTTCTGGGGAGGTGCAGGATACTGGTGTGGTGCGGGAGGATTTGGTAGTGGGTTTTGGTGTGTGTTTTGCGGTGGTGTTTGGTTCTGGGTAGTCGGGTTTTACTGGTTAATGTCGGGAACATTGAGAGTAAGGGAGAGGTTTACCAAATTCTGGACCTGCTCAAGCTCGCCCTGTAGTTCCAGGATTTTCTACTCCAAACGTAAGACCAACTCATTCTGTCCCGGAGTACTTCGGCCATCTGACGTTTCAACGTTTTCCGCCATAGTATCATTGTCTTTCCTGATACCACTTAAATCATCCATCTTCCCTTTTCCTTTGCCTTTGCCTTTGGGGTCGCTCGGTGGAGGAAGAGGTGGAGGACCTCTGGATCTGGTGTGGTATGTTGATGATATCAGTATGCACGAACCAACCTTTGGGAATGGGAATAGTCGAAAGAAAAGAAAAGCAAAAGGTAACCAAGTAAGTAAGGTGAAATGAAAGAGTATTCGCAATATTTACACATGTTTCCCAAAGTCATGCAATAATTCGCGTCCTAATTTGGAGACCTCATTGTGCCTGAGTTAGGCCTAAGCGACACATATACTTGGAGAAAATTAATGCCAACATGATAATAGGTTAAATCTAGGTGATTTAGCTATTGTTTATGCTTCCGCTTGATTATATTCCAATGTCATAATATGGTTCATTGATGAAAAATAGGCTCTAATTGTGAATTGTATACATTGCAGGATGAGGAGCTTATGTGATGCTTTCAAGAGGCTATTGGAATGATTTATGAGCAAGAACGACCCCTCGGAGCTGAGTGCGCGCAAGGACGAGACGAAGAAATGATGGCCCAAGTGCGCGAGCTCATGCGCAAAGTCGCGCGTGTTAAGGAGCTGCAGGCAGAATGATGCGCGAAGTCGCGCGCGAAGGGAAGCGCGAGCTCGCGCTAGGCCAGTCCGGAAAAGAGTTATTCAGGGGCAAAATTGGAAATCTGGAGAGAAACCCACTTAACCTATATAAAGTCAAGCTCGCCCAAGGTTAAATTATCAAGTTTTTCATAGTCTAGTACAAGGAATAGAGAGGCAAGAGGCAAGGAGGAGATTTGATCATCAAGTTCTTCTTTTCTTCCCTTTGTTTTTGCTATCTGTGATGAAATTGAACTCTATTGTGTTGAACATTAGTATGAGTAGCTAAATTCCATTATTCTAGGGTCATGGGTGAAACATGAGAGTTGTTGTTTTTAAATCGACAAAGTTGGTTTATCATATTGGGTTGTTTATTTAATTCTGATTTTAATTATTTTGCTGAGTAGCTAACAGTGAAATACTATCTACGAATCTTTGGTTGAACTCGAAAGTGGGAACTTTAGATTGCAATAGAATTAAATAGAGCAAGTTCTTGAACTTGGGCATCGGGGAACGGATTCGCAATTGGGATAGACATATACCCAATTGCCTTGCTTGGTTGAAATACAGGAACTGTAAATGCATTCTTGTTAATTTTAATTCCATAGACATATAGGCATTGAGTTAGCTTGAATAGGCGAGTAAGAACTCGACAGATTCTTATGAGTAATATCAACCCTGTCAATCAACAATCCAGGTAAATCAATTAGTCATTTTAAGCCAAGAACACAACACGATTGTCAATTAGCCCGTGACCTGGAATATCCTCTCTTACTGTTTGTTTCTCGAAAATTACTGGTTGTTTTGGTTAATTATTCTAGTTACATTATTGCTTGATAATTTGGGTAGCAAATTAGTGATATCTCTATTTTGTGGAAAACTTCTTGGATAGATAAGTTAATTAAGTTTAAATCAGTCAACAGTTAATCACAAGTCTTCGTGGGAACGATACTCTACTCACTACTTTATTACTTGACGATCACGTGCACTTGCGTGAGTGTTTTTGGCGCTGTTGCCGGGGATTTAGAAATTAGATACTTCACTAAATTGAGCTTTTATTATTTATTTATTCGAGTTTTAACTTTCAGTTCACTTTGTTTGTGCTAATACAGGATTTTCTATTGAATGCGAAGAAGTAGAAGCGCAAACAATCTCCTTCCTCTCGATCCCGAAATTGAACGAACACTTCACAGATTGAGGAGGGAGGTGGACGCTAGAACCGGAATTGAAAGAGAGTTGGACATCGTAGTTCAACCACAGCCAATTAAGATGGCAGGTAATGAGGAACGCGCGGTGATTGAAGCCGCAAGGCCAAATCTGGCTAATATGACTCAGGCTATTGTGAAGCCTGATATCACTGGGCACTTTGAGCTGAAATAATATATTGTGCAGCTGATCCAGTCCACAGGGCAATTTGTGGGTCTACCTCATGAAGACCTGCAGAGGCATATTCAGAATTTTCTGGAAATTACGGATACTTACAACTATCCGAACGTTTCCAAGGACTATGTCAGGCTGACACTTTTCCCCTTTTCTCTGATTGGGGAGGCTAAGGAGTGGTTGAATAAGGAGCCAGCGAATTCAATCAGCACTTGGGATGATTTGGCAAGGAAATTCTTAATCAAGTTTTTCCCCACTAAGAAAACAAATGTGTTGAGGAGTCAAATTCTTGGGTTCGAACAACGAGCTGGCGAGACACTTCGTCAAGCATGGGAAAGGTACAAGAAGATGCTCAGAGATTGTCCACATCATTGTCAGATGGACGAGGTATTGGGCCACACTTTTGTAGATGGGTTCGATGATGCATCAAAGATGAATCTTGATTCAGCTTGTGGGGTAGTTCTATGGCCCGACCGTACAGTGAATCCAACTCTTGCTGAATACTTTCACGGCTAATGATAATAACTGGCAAGGTGAGGGTGACTCACGACGGGCAATTAAGCAAAAAGCAGCTGGACTACTTGAGCTCGACGACTTGTCAGCCATGAGAGTCGATATTGCAAAGCTGGCCAATCAGATGAATAGGATGACAATGCAGCAACCACAAATAATGCAACCTGTGCACCAAATGGCTATTTGCTGCGAATTATGTGGTGACAATCATATGAGTGACATGTGCCCCACAAATCCAGAATCCATCTATTATGTGGGGCAACAGAACAGAGGTCCCCCGAATCAGCATGCTCAATACGGAAATTCTTACAATCCAAATTGGAGGAATCATCCCAACTTCTCATGGGGTGGAAATCAACAGAATTAGAATCAGCATAGACCCTAGGGGGTTTCAATCAGCCTCAAAAACCACCCCAACAAATGGAAGAAAGCACCAATGATTTGTTAAAGAAGTTGTTGATTGACAATCAGCAGCTTAGGACCGATTTTAGAAACCTTGAGAGGCAGATGGAGCAGTTAGCAACCAATCAAAACACTAGACCTGCAGGTGCTCTCCCAAGTGATACAGAGAAGAACCCTCAAGTGAATGCAGTTACACTTAGAAACGGGAGGGAGCTAGAGGAAGTGCCAAAGAAGAGGAAAGATAAGCCCATACCTGAGGGGGAGTTGATCCCTAAAGTAACACAAGAGCCAAAGAATGCTGCTGAAATTCCAGAGCCAGTGGGGGCCCCAAGGCCACCACCCCCTTTCCCCAGAGACTGCAGAAAAAGAATGATGATCGCATGTTCAGCAAATTTCTCTCCATGTTGAGCCAGGTTCAATTGAATATTCCACTTGTTGATGTGCTCCGTGAAATTCCAAAATATGCCAAGTACATAAAAGATATAGTGGCTCACAAGAGAAGATTGACTGAATTAGAGACAGTTGCACTTACTGAGGAGTGCACTTCGAGGGTCCAAAATAAGCTCCCTCAAAAGCTTAAGGATCCTGGCAGCTTTACCATCCCTGTGAGAATTGGTAATATTGACGTGGGACGTGCTCTTTGTGATTTGGGGGCAAGCATAAATCTGATGCCCCTATCCTTGTTCAAGAAATTGGGTCTGGGAGCTCCAAGGCCAACTACTGTGATGTTGCAGCTGGCTGATAGATCTATAGTACACCCCGAGGGGGTAATTGAAGACGTATTGCTACAAATTGGAAAATTTATCTTCCCAGCTGACTTCATTATCCTGGATTATGAGGCTGACGAACTGGTCCAATCATATTAGGGCGACCACTCTTGGCTACTGGTGATGCAATTATCAAAGTGAGAGAGGGAAAAATGATCTTGAGGGTAGATGACGAGGAAGCAGTCTTTAATGTGTATAAAGCAATCCAACTCCCCCGCCATTATGAGGAGCTCTCAATGATATCTGTTGTTGAGGCTGATGAGCAAATTCTTAACACGAGTGCATATCTAGACGACTCTCTAGAGAAAGCACTTATGTTGTTTGATAGCCTAGGGAGTGATGATGAGGTTGAGGAGATGATGTAAATCTTAGATACTTCTTGTGCGTACATGCAAGGGGTACACCCCTTTGAGCCTTTGAACAGGCCAGAAGGGCCGCCCCCAAAGCCATCCATTGAGGAAGCCCTAAAACTGGAGCTTAAACATCTCCCACCTCACCTTCAATATGCTTACTTGGGTGAATCTGACACTTTACCTGTGATTGTTTCTTATGACTTATCTAAATTGCAGGAAGAGAAGCTGTTGAGAGTGCTACGTGAGCACAAACGAGCAATTGGGTGGACGATGTCTGACATAAAGGGCATTAGTCCAGCCTTTTGCATGCACAAAATCCTCATGGAGGATGGACACAAGCCCAGTGTAGAGCAACAACGCCGACTCAATCAAATCATGAAAGAGGTGGTAAGAAAAGAAGTGATTAAGTGGCTTGATGCAGGTATTGTATTTCCTATCTCAGACAGCAAATGGGTAAGTCCCGTGCAATGTGTACCCAAGAAAGGGGGGATGACTGTATTAGTTAATGAAAATAATGATTTGATCCCCACAAGAAGTGTCACTGGGTGGAGAATTTGCATTGATTATAGAAAATTGAACAATGCCACCCGGAAGGACCACTTCCCCCTCCCCTTTATTGACCAAATGCTTGATAGATTAGCTGGCCAGGAGTACTACTGCTTCTTGGATGGTTACTCGGGGTATAATCAGATTTTTATAGCCCCAGAGGACCAAGAGAAGACCACATTTACGTGCCCCTATGGCACGTATGCGTTCAAGAGAATGCCCTTTGGTCTTTGTAATGCACCTGCGACTTTTCAAAGGTGTATGATGGCCATTTTTACTGACATGGTCGAGAGGTTTGTGGAAGTATTCATGGATAATTTTTCTGTGTTTGGATGTTCTTTTGATAACTGTTTGATGAATCTCGATAAAGTGCTTGCTAGGTGTGAAGAAACTAACTTAGTGCTAAACTGGGAGAAGTGCCACTTCATGGTACGTGAAGGTATAGTTTTGGGGCACAAGATCTCTAAAAATGGTTTGCAGGTGGACAAGGCAAAGGTGGAAGCGATTGAAAAATTGCCACCACTAACATCTGTCAAAGGCATTCGTAGTTTCTTGGGCCATGCAGGTTTTTATCGTCGTTTCATTAAAGATTTTTCGAAAATTTCCTCTCCCTTGTGCAGGTTGTTCGAGAAAGATGTCCCCTTCAAGTTTGATGATGCCTGTCTGAAAGAATTTGAGGAGCTGAAGGGAAAGCTAGTGATCGCACCAATTATCATTGCCCCGGATTGGGGGCAATCCTTTGAGTTGATGTGTGATGCGAGTGACATAGCTGTGGGAGCTGTGTTGGGAAAAAGGAGAAATAAAATCTTTCACTCCATCTACTATACGAGCAAAACTCTGAATCCAGCCCAGATGAATTACACAGTTACTGAAAAAGAGTTGCTTGCAGTGGTGTGGGCGTTTGACAAGTTTAGATCATATCTGGTGGGGACCAAAGTCATCGTCTACACAGATCATTCAGCTATCAGGTATCTGTTTGAGAAGAAAGACGCCAAGCCGAGACTGATTCGGTGGGTCCTCCTCTTGCAAGAGTTCGACTTAGAGATCCGAGATCGCAAAGGAACAGAGAATCAAGTGGCTGATCACTTGTCCAGATTAGAAAATCGGAACCATGTGGCTGAAGGGGGTGCAATCAAAGAAACATTCCCTGATGAGCAGTTATTGGCAATCACCTCAAGCACAGCCCCGTGGTATGCAGATTATGTGAACTTTATTGCAAGTGGGGTGACACCACCAGACCTGACACCTGATAATAGAAGAAGGTTCTTGCATGATGTGAGGCTCTACATGTGGGATGAGCCATTCTTGTACAGGCTCTGTGCAGATCAGTTAGTGCGGAGATGTGTTCCTGAGGAGGAGATGACTGCCATACTTCATGACTGTCACGCCTCACCATACGGAGGTCATCATGGTGGTGATAGGACCGCCCAGAAAGTTCTACAATCAGGTTTCTATTGGCCAAAATTGTTTAAGGATGCACATGCTTTTGTTAAAATGTGTGACAGGTGCCAAAGAACCGGAACGATCACAAAGAAGCACGAGATGCCGCTGCAAAACATTCTGGTAGTGGAGCTTTTTGATGTTTAGGGAATCGATTTCATGGGACCGTTTCCACACTCTAATGGTCATAGGTACATCTTGGTGGCAGTCGACTATGTTTCCAAGTGGGTGGAGGCCATTGCTCTTCCCACTAATGATGCAAAGGTTGTGGTAAACTTTGTCAAGAAGCACATCTTTACACGCTTTGGAACTCCTAGAGTGTTGATCAGTGATGGAGGAACGCACTTCTGCAACAAATTGCTGAATAATGTCCTCGCAAAATATGGAGTCAAGCACAAGGTGTCCACCGCCTACCACCCCCAAACAAGTGGTCAAGTGGAAGTATCGAACAGAGAGGTGAAGCAGATTCTTGAGAAAACAATGAGTGGAAATAGAAAGGACTGGGCGAACAAGCTAGACAACGCACTGTGGGCATATCGCACTGCATACAAAACTCCCATAGGTGCTTCTCCGTACAAATTGGTTTATGGAAAGGCATGTCACTTGCCCGTCGAGCTTGAACACAAGGCCTATTGGTCCATTAAAAAGCTGAATATGGATGGGGACTTAGCTGGTAAGAAGACATTGTTGCAACTCAACGAGCTTGATGAATTTCGGTTACATGCATACGAGAATGCAAAATTGTATAAAGAAAAGACAAAAAGGTGGCACGACAAGCACATCCACCATCGAGAGTTTGAGCCAGGGCAAGAAGTTCTTTTATTCAATTCGAGGTTGAAGCTTTTTCCCGGAAAGCTTAAATCTCGTTGGTCGGGCCCTTTTGTTGTGGTGAGTGTGAAGCCTTATGGCGCTGTGGAGTTGAGGGATATGAGTTCAACTGGTACGTTCTTGGTAAATGGTCAGAGGATAAAACATTACTGGGGTGGTGATATTGCACGTCACAAGACCTCGGTGGATTTGATGGATGCTTGAGAACGTGTTGGGTCGTGCCGCGACGTTAAATCAGGCGCTTGATGGGAGGCAACCCATTGTATTGTTGTAACCGTCGTGCCACAACGTTAAATAAGGCCCTGGTTGGGAGGCAACCCAACGATAGAATTAGTTGTTGATTTTGTGTTTTAGAAAGTGCTAACCAATGCAGGTGACGAAGGGCGGGTGAAAAGACCATCGACCAAAGGCAATACAGGTGAAAAAAGTACTAAAAACGGGTGCCCAGTAGCGCGAGCTCGCGCTAACTTCGCGCAAAAGTTCGCGCGAACTGGGCAAACATTCTGCCTGAGCTACGCTCCTCAGTGACTGATTTGGGCATCCGTGTGGACGCGATGGCTGACCGACAAGCCAAGTCGGAGAAGAAGTTCATGGGTTGGCTGCGAGCTCTGGGGCGTGCGTGCAACGTAATCCCAGACTCCGTCTCCGACCAGGAGTGAGACTTCAGGGAAGTTCCCTTACTTCACTGTTCTTTCAATTTTAAGCCATGAGGACATGTCTTTATCTTTAAGTGTGGGGTGGGGGTACTTCATTGTATGTATGTAGTTGTATCAATTGATTGTTGGTTTTGTTTTGTCTTGGTTGTTTGACTTTGATAGTGTTGGTGTTAAATAGGGATCATTAGTTTAAAATAGATAGGTGGCTCGGCCCGACAATGGATCCCTTTCGACGGGGTTCTTGAGGAACTAAGTCGAGAGATCTATAAAAAAGAAGAAAAAAAAACTAAAAAACTGTAGGATCTTCCTGATGACGGATCTTGTAGGCGATTTTCTTGAGGGAAGTTAGTCTAGAGAAAATAACAAAAAGATATTTTTTTTTTGTATTTTTTATTTTTTATTTTTTTTATTTTAGGTAGTATAGCAACTCCCCCTTGGTTTTTCTTTATACCACGGTTCTTTTCCAAGGGTTTAACTTGAACCGGGTGTAGGTAGTTTCTATTTTTATTTTTTTACTTGTAGATTAGGTTAATGGGCTACGAGCTAGAAAACTCAAAAGAGAACCCATAACGTTAACACACCTGAACACAATAGACCCTAGAGTTCAACGCTTAGTCTTGTTTGTTGAATCTCATTAAAGTGCCTTAATCTGTATGTTTGACTGAATTGAATGCTCGTAATGGAGTATCTTGAGGAGCTGATCTAAAACGAGTAATGTGCCATGTGTGGTGAGGTTTTGTGTAGTCCATGTTGTGTACTTGTGTCTAGAACTTGCCCGGTATGTGAGTTGAAGCGAAATTTTAGGTAATGCTCGGTTTGAAAGATGATTTTAGGCCCTCTTTGATCTTTCTGAGCTTAATTGCTTATCACAAATAAAATTCATCCCTAGTTAACCCTTTTGAGCCTATGGACTTTTCTTTGGCACCCACATTACAAGCCTATATCCTTTTTGTTCTTATTTGATATCTTTGATCCTTTTTCCTCTTAAAGCACTTTAATCGTGAGATGAGCGCTAAAAGAAGTAAGAAGGGACTAGCGTGGGGTGGCTTTTGAGTGGAACCAATGAAAGAAAGATGGGTGCACTTATATTTGTAAAATAATACACTACTAGCGGGAAAAAAAAAAGAAGAACGAAAATATAGGTGAATAAATTGTTGTCTTGTTCTTGCTAGTGGGGTATTAATTAAAGTAATGCTTAAAGAAAGAGGGAGAAATTTTGGGGTGATATTGTTTGTGAAATTGAAGTAGGGATTGAAGAATTTGCGCTCAAAGTGAT